TGTGATCTTTTTTTTTTTACTCATTACACAGTATGAGTTGCCACCTCAGAAAACATGGCATGTGGTGCCTAACAAACCTCCAAACCTAACAAGCCAGTATGCCTTCATTTTTTTTTAAGCTACTTTGTATGAATTTTATTTGGCTGCTTTAATTCTTCTTTTCTTAATCCTCAGAAGCAAGCTGCCAACACCAATTTCAGAGGTCAGAGAACTTTAGCTGCAACATAAAAGAGATCCTGTGTTGCTCGCTTGGAAACGACCCAGCTGAATGCCGGAGTGGAGCCCGGGTAAAGACAGCTCTCCGAAAATCCTACATCCAATGGCATTCTAGTTCTGCAGGCCCTGGGGTTCATTTCACCACTCGCATTGCATTTGTTAATAGAAGAACCCAAAGATTTCTTTAATGGGTCAAGATAGGATCAGAGAACTGGCAAGAGTTTAAGACAAAGTGTTAACAGGGGCTTGGCAGATTTCATGCATTAGCATATATAATTAAATGGCTCTCTGGCTGTCTGGTTGGATAGACGGATGTCTACTAAGGAAGGCAGGGAGGGAAGAGGAGGAAACATAGTTTTAAAAAGGATTCTGGAGATTTTTAAGTGCTGATGTGAAAAGATGCCTAGGAATGTCATTGAGTTAAAAAAATATATGCAGAAAAAGTGGTCCCTTTCTCTTTCCTTCTCCCCCCTCCCCCTTTTTATTTTCTATTTTGGATAGAGATATTGAGCAGTTGAGAAGTCATCAGATAGCTTATGCACTGATGAGGACTTCAGATAGACCCGCAGCAGCACAGGTAATATCTAGAGCATGGGAATGGACCTGCTGGGGGAAGGGATCCTTCCCTTTTTTCAGTCTGCACTGTTGTGCTGTTTGAACTGTTTTCCTTTTATAACAAAAACAAAGAAAGCAACAGCAGGGCCGGGAGCTGGAAGTGGAAGGCAGGGCCTGCAGAGGGGTCATCCTGAGTTCAAAGCTGGATATGAAGGCAAGGCCACAGCCCTGAGAGGAGGTGCCAGGCCTGAGCGAACAAAGCAGCCTCCTCCAGGGAGAGACCCTGACCTGGGTGTCCACCCTGGGATGACAAATGGCCCTTCTGTCCCCATCACACAGAGCCAGGCTCACGGCTGTAATTCCTGGCTGGAGCTCAATCTCCTTCCACAAAGAGCACTCACTCTGCAGGGAACTGGGGACAGAAAACAAAAACAAAAACAAAAAACAAAAAACCCTGAATAATTCGCAGGGAGCTACTACTAGAGGTTGAAGAGCCTTCCCTGGTCAAAGCCCCACCTGACATAGCCCGATGTTTCCCTAGGCCTGAGACTACTTGGTAGTGGATAAAAGATAGAAAAGAGCTTAGGACCCATTGGGCCCAGCATGGTCTTTCCACATGTCCATCAAAACCATGAGCCCTCATATGTGTGGGGCTGGTACGATCTGGATAGACCAGCCTGGACAGGCAAGCTGAGGGACTCAGGGCCACACAGGCTGGAGTCTGTACCCATTGCTGGGGACAGGCCACCTAAACATCTAAGAGTTTCTGTAACTCCCATGGGGTCAGATGAGGGACTAAACCAACAGGAGAGCTATCTTATTTCCCATAGACAAACTAGTAGAGATTAATGCCTCTGCTGAGTATCTTTGGCTCACACCTGTAACCCTAGCTACTCAGGAGGCTGAAATTCAAGGATTGAGGTCAGAAAAGCAGCCCAGGCAGGAAAGTCTGTGAAACTCAACTCCGGTTAACCACAAAGAAAAAAAACACAGGCCGACGTGGAGGTGTGGCTCAAGTGGTAGAGCACCAGCATTGAGTGAAAAAGCCAAGTGAGAACAAGAGCTCTTGAGTTCAAGCCCCAGTACTGAAATGAAAGAGAGAGGCACTTCATTCCCACAAAGCAGCATCTTTTCACGTGTAAGCTGCCAACAGAACCAGTCCCTCACAGAAGTTTTGGTTTACAGCCCTAGGCCACAGCTGGGACTGTGTACCTCTAAGATTCCCTGGCCAGCTGTTGCTGCTCCCGCCTGGCTCCTGGACCTCAGGTTACCAAGTGTGAGCAATCTGCCCTTCTAGAGGGAGCCATGGTGATGCCAGAACCCACAAGAGCAGGACAGATGGGCGCCGAGTGTTCCTATCTCTTTTGACTTACTTTTATAAGTACTGTCCAAACTATGATATTTTCCCCCTATGAAATCTTAGAAGATTTTGGCCATCACTGGCAATGGACGGTAAGATTTTCTTCTTCTTCAATCAATGTGCAGGCCAAATACAATACATCTATAGGCTGGATTCCACCCGCTGGCTCTGGCTCTAGAATGCAGATAACAGTTCTCAGGGAAAGGAGGCAGGGTGAGAGATCTCAGAGCCAGCCACCTCTGGTCTCTTTGTGGAGGAACACAGGCCTGAACACACTTCAGCAAGGCATCCCTCACACCCCCTGGCAGGACCCCATGAGTCTCCCCTTTCCTTCTGTCACGTCTAAAACTCCAGCTACGCATATTCTTTGCAGATTGAACCTCTCTCACCTCTGAACCCCACTTTCAGTCCTGCCCCTTCTGATCTCTGGGCCTCAGGGTGCATGCTTGGCTGGAACATGCTATCCCTCTCTCTAATTTGTCCTAATCTTCACTTGCCCTTAAGGCTCTAACTGGCTGTCATCTCTTTGGGACCACTGCTGCTCACTCCCCGCAGCTCTGATACTCCCACCATGCACTAGGCTACCAGGACCCAAAGATGTAAATCTTTGTCTTCTCCTATCGCCTGTGTTCACAGCGTTGAGCCTAGGGCCCCAGTACTGGCCATGTTTGAAATAACATTGACCAGACACTGTTTTCCAGGCTTTGGCCTCCTCATCTCCTTCTAGTTTGCTTCCAGTTATTTCCTGTCTCTGTTCCAAGCCTCAGCTCAGAGAATTGCTTGCTATGAAAACCATCCCTGATCTTCCAGATCAAGGAGGAGGGAGGGGTGCTTATATTGTGACTGACTGCTTTAGTTCCCTCCCTTTTCCCAGGCTACACTGAACTCTCATTGACTCGGGACAGCAAAGAGAGGGCAAGCACCACAAAACCCTCGCAGGATCTCCCAGAATAGAAATAACCAAAACACAAATGAAGGATCCGAGGCGAATTGGGGACTCCTGCACTGAGATGCGAACATATTCCTGGCTGGTGGGTTCTGAGGACGTGGGGCAGAAGGCAAGGTAGTGAAGTCATTTGCCCAGCATACCTCCAGAAACTCAGTCTAGCCCCTTGCCTCTCTTCTGAGCACTGTCTCATGACTGTTGTGTGTCAGTATCTCAGCCCCAGTTACTGTGCATTCTGAACTTTAGGGATTGCGACATGCTCTGTTTTTCCTGTGCCTGGAGAGGTGGCCAGCGTGTGACAGAAGCCGTCCACACGATGGCTCATCCGTCCTCCCTCGGCCACTCAGGGAACCTCCCTGAGGCCACACAGCAAGGAATGCTGTCTATAAGCAGGGTTGAAAAGGGCATGGAATAGAATAAGGGGTAATAACATACACCTTGAACAACACTGCCCGCCTCCCAGCAAGCACACGATGAATATTGATGAGATTCATTGTTAGGGGATCCATTGGTGCCTTGCTTGTTAATGGCTGATGAAGGGGAAGCATGAAGGTAATAAACCAGCCAAGAACAAGCCGGTGACCCCCAAATAAAGGTATGTTCTGGAAGTTCCCCCAAGAGGGAGCTGGGAAACAAGGGACTGCCCTTATAGGCAGAGTTCCATGCACGCAGTGGATGGGCAAGGTCTTGCCCATCCTGAAGGTCTTGCCTTCCTGAAGGTTTCCCTCCCAGACTGCGTCTCCCCATTAAGAGGCCTTGGGATGTTAAGGCACCATACAACACAATGTTTCTCTACAGCAATCACACCTGAAGCCCCTCCAAGGCTGACTACTGTCTCACCATCATCCCACATGGCAGACTCAGAGGCCAGGGTTTCTGCAAAGGTTACTAGCAGGGGTGCAGGGTGGTAGGTGATGGGTTTCAACATGAGAAGGGTTCAGATTCTCGTGAGTCTCTTGGTCTCTTTGAGCCTCAGCTGCTGTACAACATAGTGTTAATGATCCTCCCCTCGCTGGTGGTGGTAGAAGGGACAGATACCATGCAAAGCAGCCACAGGCCTTCCACAAGCACCCCTAGCTAAGGGGGGAAGTGGGGGGTGAGTGAGGCCAACCCTGAGGACAAGTATAAATCAGTTCTGGACCCAAGACTAGGAAAGAGAGTCTGGGGCATCCTGACCTCCCAGAAACCCCGGAATGTTCATGGAGACCTGGGGCTGGCCTTCCGGAGTCTGCTGTGGTAGTGCTAATTGGGGTCTTGGGGTCACCAGCTTCCCATCCTTGGAAGAGGAAGAGCTCAGGGCTTTTGCCCTTCCCTGTTGCTACTTTCTCTGGCCTGGTTGCAGAAGGGGGGTGGGGGTGGGGAGGAGACTGACCCAATGGGTAATCAAAAACCAAGTTGGGGGGGGCAGGACAGGCAAGCCAGAGGGCTTACAGGTAAGATCCAGGTGACCCCTGCCCCCTAGAGTGGCTTTGTAGGAAGTCACTGGAATCTGACGCTCAGAGTGTCCCCTGAATTCCCTTTCTTCCGCGCCCATCTTAGGAGAACAGAGCTGGCTGCCTGGTCTGGAACTGCAGCCCACCTGGCCCTCCCTTTATGTCTCAGAGAATTTGCTCATCTGTAAAATGGGCGAACTCTCACCTCCTTCAAAGGCTATGCAGTTCTGCTGAAGTCACAGTCTACAGCACTTGGCAGGATGCCTGGACAGGGAAACCTTCGCTGCCTCCCCAACTGTACCATCCGGTTTGGAGGTGGCGGGGGAGGGGGGGGAGGAGGCCTGGCTGAGGGGGGTGCAGCCTCCCCTGGGGCTGGGAGTGGGCAGATCGGCAGTCCCTCTGAACACAGGGGCCCTTGTTCTCCTCTGGGATGAAGAGGCCCGGCCCCCACTGGGCAGGAGACAGTCAGGAATCCTTCAGGAGTTCTCACCATGCACTTGCGGTCATCTATGCCGGTCAGGTCCTCCTCGAACTCCTTGCCCACCTCGAAGTCCATGATGTAGTTCCTGAAGGTACTCAGTGTGCGGATGATCATGTGGTCGCCTTCCTGCACGATCTCTTTGTCCGGCTTCAGCAAGTTAGCGATTTTGCGCAAGGCCACATTGACATCTTCAAGGGGTTGTGATAGTGGTGGTGGTGGTGGTGGTAGTAGTGTTAAGTGGGGGGAACAGAGCGGCAGAAAGTTGTCAGGAAAACTCAGAACACCCTCCCCTGCTCCCAACAAGACTGGGGAACCCTCACTTGCTGTGGACTGCCTGCATTGTAGCCTGTTCTGTGCCAAGTCCTCCTCCTCTCCCCAGCTCCGGGACACACACACACACACACACACACACACACACACACACACACACACACACACACACACATTGGCAACCAAGTTTTTGGCCCTTAGAAACAAAAATTTAGCAATCCAAGTAAGTCCCAGCTTTGCAAATGAAATTACTCATCAGCCCTGACAATCCCGGATCCTCCAAGTTGCAGCCTGTGGCAGGCAGTGCTCCTTCTGGAAGGGGGAGGGAGGTGGCTGTGGTAGGGAGGGGTAGGGATGGGGGCGCAGGGGTGGGGAGGGGTACTGGGTTCCAGGGGGGGAGAGCCAGCCTCACCAAGGGCACGCAGGTACTCTTCGAAATTCTCGTTGCTGAGCATCTTCCAGTATCCAGTGAAGTCCACAGGCATTTCGGGGAGTGACGGTGTGAATGCCGTGGGACACAGGTCGGGTGGGTGCTACTCAGGGCTCTGCTAGGGAAGCAGCTGCTGGTGTGATCCTGGCCGGTGGTCGCCCCGGAAATGAGGGGGGTGAGGTGGGGGGGACTCATTGAAGGAGGCGGGGACAGCTGGGTTCCAAGCACGCACAAAGCACGGCAGGAGGATCCATTGTAGCCTTCGCTCCTCCCCCCTGGACGAGGGCGGGGTGCCAGGGAGTTGGAGGGCCAGGTCTGTCCTCTAGCTGGAGGCTACCTTCGGTTTGGTTCGGAGAGGGGGGCCCTTCTCTCGCTTCTCCTCCCCTGTAAAAAGGAAAAGAGATGGTAGGAGGGTAAGGTTGTATTATTCACCCTAACTTCTCAGTTCTGGGGAGAGGAGGGCAGTGGGGGTGGAGGGGGCGGGGAGAGGATTCCTTCAAATGCTTACTGTGAACTTTCAACCCTAGGCAGCTACTGGAGGGCTGTGCAGTGTAGGAGACTGTGGGAGGGGAAGAATTGAGGTGTGTGTGTGGGGGGGGGAAACCCTTCTCTACTGTCCCTCCAGAAACAGGAAAGCAAAAGTTGATGTTATTTGAAGTGCCTCTGGTGGGGGAGGGGGAAGCTCTGGTGTGGGCTCAGGTTAGAGACCCCAGCTTTATGCAAATGGAAGCAATCACCTCTCTGGGCTCTCATCTCCACAGGGTTCAGTGCTTAGCCTTCTCTTAATGTATTCCCGCTGCTTCCAAGGTTGTACAATGGAAGTCCGGTGGTTGTGCAGAGGTCCCATTGTTTATCCTGTGGGGTTCCTGCTAACTGACATTTAGGTGGTTTCTGATTCTACCGTACCGCCTGGAGGATCACCAATCACATGTCACCTGCCACCCCAGCAAGCGTGTCACAGCGCTTGAAAACTGCTGTCTTTGCCACCGAGGAGATGACATAATCACAGTGGTTGACTTTTCGACCCTCTCTTAAATTGCTTGGCACACATATCATACAGCATAGGTGACAGTAGTGACATTTTCTCCACCCCCACCCCCAGCTGCATGACCCTCTTTCCCCTAGGGAGGAAGCGTCTTCCCTTGGGGAGTGATTTAGTATCCTTTGTAAGATGTTTATAATGCATCTTTAGATCCCAGAGCACCCCACAAAGATGCCTTCAGACATAGTGTGGCCAAGCTGGGAGGTGGGAGCAAGACCACCCTGGTCTGAGTGTTATGGCCATACCTCCATTCCCTGCGTCGTCCCCCCCCCCCCCCCCCCCCCCCCCCCCCCCCCGTCCCAGCCCTTTCTACCTGTCCTTTCTCCAGTTCTGGGCTGCTCAACTGTGGTAACTGGCTGACATCACGTTGCTACTTCTCAGTCACTTAGATTGGAGACATGCAGTGTGGTTCCCTGTGTTCAAACATGGCTCTGGAGCTACATAGGACAATGGCCGGCACCAGTCTTCCCCTGTCCATCATCCCAAATGTGTGTGAGCTTAATATCTAACCTGGCCGTTTCCTTGTGTTCACCATGGTGGGGAAAGAGAGGCCACAGCGTCCTCATATTGAGGACCTACTTCTTTGACTGCCCGATTCGTGAATATTCACAAATGTAAATGAGGTACTACACTGACAGGTCCCAGAATCTTAAACCCATTGGGGGAGGTGGCTTGAGCATTTATGATGTATTTCCTGAGTAGAAAATGGTTGTGAAGAGTGAACCAGCGGCCTTCTATCTTACCTCTCATACAATTACATGGCAAGCATTTCTATGGATTATGACACACTATATGAAAAAAATCTTCCTCTCTCCTCCTCCCTCCCCTTCCTTCCTCTTGCATTCATTGGATGTGGCCACGTCATTCTGACATCATTGCTTCCTTCTTCTCGGCTCCTTCTCTGACTCACAATCACATTGTGTGATTACATTGTGACCATCCAAGATAATCCAGGATAATCCCCCCAATCTACTGATCTTTAATTTTATCACACTGGCAAAGCCCCTTTTTCTCTGTGTTAGCTAGCTTTCCATTAGTATAGCAAAATACCTGGATGGCTATTACTTCTCACCCTTGTAATCCCAGCTACTCCAGGAGATGTAATTAGGAAGCTCAAGGTCAGAGGCCAGCAGGCATAAAACATGAGATCCTACCTGAAAAAGAGAGGGGGGGGAGAGAGAGAGAGAGAGAGAGAGAACTAAATTCTGAAAGAATGGGAGTGTGGCTCAACTGGGAAAATTGTTGTATAGCAAGCCCTGGGTTCAATCCCTCCGGGTTATTTTGGCTCCCAGTTTTGGTGGTTCCAGTCCAAAGATCCGGTAGAACCCTGGCTTTGAACCTCTGGCAAGCAAGCCTAATGGTAAAAGTGAAGACCAGAAGTGCTAATGAGCCAGAACGATTGATTAATCAGATGAACGAATTGGAATGACAGAGTGGAGATCAGGCTGAGGTTTTACCATCCCTTTCAAGGGCATACTCAGTGACCTATGAGCCTCCCTCAGTACTCTGATTCCCAATAGTTTCACTCCAAACACAACACTAGGGAAACAAGCCATTAGCACACTGTCTCTTATGAGACCTTAATTCAACCACAGCAATAACATACTTGCAGGTCTCCTCGTTAGCACACAGACACCTCTGGGAGGGCTTGTTAATCAACTTGCCCATCAAGGACCAAGAAAAGTATCATTCAGGTAGTGAAAAAGAAGCTGGGATTACAGACATGAGCCATCATATCTTGGCAACACAGGTCTTTTATAGTTTATCTCTCCATTATTCAACAGAAATGTACTATATTATCTAACTGTTCCACTCCTGTCTTAAACAAATGATAATATCATATGCACACAATTTCTCACAGACAGACCTTCTGTATTTTAAGGAAGACCATAGTTTTATTTATTTCACCCTGCTCCTTCAGATTAAGTGGAGTGACGCTCTAAGGCCAGCATCCCTTGGAGAAGAGAGGCATTGGGGAAAGCAAGAGAGATGGGGTGGAAGGAGCCTGGAATCTTCGCTCATAGTTCAGGATTTTGCAGAAGTAATCGTTATGACTATATTTGGGGCTTTGTCCGATGGTAGAATCTTAGATAAGAAGAGACACTCTTCTATGTTCTCCAAGGAGAATGAAGTCTGGAGAGATCTTGTGACTTGCTCTAGGTCATGTGGGTAGAAACCAGGACTGGAGTCTGAATCTGTGTCTCGCCACCATCTGATCCCAAAGTTCAAGATCTTAACCCCATGTTTTGGTCTTCCAAGTGAAGGAAAAAAATCCACGGGGATCCCAGCCTGTTGGCTGTGATAAATAAACCTATAGCAAGGAATCCCAGAGAGGAAATAAGTCTCCCAAGCCATCATTAATATGGAAGGAGAAGTTTAATCCCATGTGAAATAAAAACACAGGGCATACAATCGAAGCAGAAAAATCTATAAACTATTAAAGATTAATGTACCTTAGTGAGGCTCCGACCAGATTTAAAAAGAACAAATCTCACCAGAGTAGTGTTTTTGTGATCTGGGGGCAGACTGAGACAATGAAGAGATGAAAGGGAAGCCACTGGTCAAACACACATTGATTTTCAGGAAGCACGTGACTCGATCCTCTTAGGCCTTCCGGTATGTGATTACAGATCGGGGCTCATGCTGACCTCTGACCAGGAGAGATCACACTAGGGCTAGCTCCCAGCCCCCAGCCCAGGTCCTGTCTTCTGAAAAAGCGATAGAGCAAAAACACGGTTTTTTATTTTTTAAGACACCCATAAAAAGAGAACACATAGGAGCTGGTTGACTTGGGAACAAAGATTCTTTTCCTGATGTGTGTGTTGGGGGAAGAGGGGCCCCATACACCTCAGGAAGGTCTTAAGTTCACAAGTTGGAGGCCAGCCCAGGCTACAAAGGCCCAAGACTCTGTTTTCAATCATCCTAACAGTAACATATAATAATGATACCCTTTTTGTTGCTGACCTTCCTTCCCACTCTACCCTGCTCATTACTTCTGGATTGATGGAGTACAGTGAAATGACCAGGGCTGGGGTTTTAGAAGCAATCTGATTTGGAATCCCAAGGCCACAATTCCCTGTTTGTGTGACTGGCTAAGTCACTTAAGTCTCTGAGCCACTGCCCTTACAGCAGCGTAGTTTTGAGGAGCATAGCACACATGTCCCTCATGTGGGCTGGCCATCTTTTTCCTCCACCATCTGGCTGCCGCAGCCGTCCCTCCGTGATTCCCTTCTTGAGCTCGGGGCTTTGACTTCTCTGCCCTCACAGCTAAGCCATCAGCAAGATCCCTGTCCCAGTTTCATCATGACCTTTCCCCTGAATTCCAGGAGCACTGACCTCTCCCTGTTCTCCCAGTCATGTGGCGTGCACAGCCCGAGGTAGACAGAAGTCTCTCTCCCATGTGTATCCTGGTGCTTGTGTGTGCACCCAGGCATTGTCTGGGTAAAGTGGGAGCTCTCCCCAGCACCTGCCAGCCCACCTGGCCCAGGTCCTGACTGCAGAGGATGGACAAAGGACTGTGGAGGAGGGACCAGCACCAGGGCCCACCGCCACAGCATCACCCTGTTCCCCTGCACTGTGTTCCGGCCACAGCAAGCAGTCCTGGCCCACCACCTCCAATAGCAGAAGCAAGATGAATGCTTGTGGGCACATAATCGGCCAGCCCTTTGTGGTTCTTTAGCACATAGCCCAGGAGTTGGAAGTACCTGTGTTTGCCTTCCTGCCTCACATCTTCCTCCCTTCCATACAGAAGCCTGGTCCAGCCTGCCAGCCATGGGCACAGGGATCAGGGCAGACAAATTCATCAAAGGCCAGTGAGGGCGAGGGGGAAGGGCACCTGCACACTGGTGTTAGGAGGGGAGAAGCGGAAGAGGGAGAAGACGTGGCCACCAGGACAAACTCTATTTTGAGGGAGAGGTGGGAAGGAGGGACGTATGTAGAAGGGGAGGGAAAGGAAGGTGAGAGGGACAGGTAGAGAGAAATTGGTAAGTATGTAGGTACATAGATATGGAGGAGGGGGAGAGATGGAGAGGAGGAGTTATAAAGAGGGAGAGAAGAGCCCAGTACTGGTGGCTCATGCCTTTATCCTAGCTTTTCAGGAGGCTGAGAT